GAAGAATGAAATTAAGGGAAAGCTACTAAGGTTCAACATTTAGAAAGAAGGGAAAAATCTGAGCAAAGTAGGTTAACCTAACTATAAAACAGCAATCATGGTAAAAAGTAACAGGCTAGTGAGAACAAAAAAGGCTGAAACATCTAAGAAAAGCAGAGACCGTAAAAGACTGATTTACCAGATTTAACAGAGAAGGTGAATGAAGGGAGAAGCAGCATTTATGCAAAGAAACAGAGTCAGTGGAAAAGCAAAAAAGTCAAAACAGACTGTAGGACTTTAAAAGATTTGTGATATTCTATGTAACAATGAGGCGGTGGGTAAAAAATTAAATTAAAATTAAACAAAAACACCAAGTAGATGTTCAGATGTTACAGCTGAGCAACATTTTAATGTATATTAAAACCACAGACAATAAGAATATGAGAGCACAAATGATAGCAGAATAAAACCTTATAACATTATCTTAATGTTGATTAATGATTAAAATTCTGAGATATCTTCTCCCCAGATGCTAAGTGTTCAATGAATCTCACAACAAATTCAGTTCACATATAACATTTCAAAAAATGCCCAATTATTTTACATTTTTGTTTAATAAATGTTTTGATAAAATATGCAGATTCCAAGTTTGCATTTTGATTCATGGAAGGGTTATGATTCTATGTTAGCAATTTTGGTAAGAATTATTGTGCTTAAATTGTTTAAAAGGACAAAAGATTCAGTTGCAATAATAGTTTTTGTTTTATCATGCCCTGACCTAAATCTGTTATGCAGGACTGAAATAATTCAGCAACATAAGCAAGGTATCTTGAGATAAGAAAACAGCAAGACTGTGATATCTTCCCCCCACAAAAAAACCATTTAATTTTCTATTAGAAAACAACAAAGATGTGAATGCAAACAACTGAATCTAATTACTATACTAACAGTTTACCTTCTAAGATTGATTGGTCTAATTTCTTTGTCAGATTCAGTGTACTTTCTTTAGGGTTGTTCTGCTGCTAAATTGTACATTAGAAACAAATGTGTCAATAAAAACAATTTTTTGTAAATTCTGGCAAAATGTTAAGTTCCTTATGTTTGTGGAGATTTTCAATCATTAGGTCATGGTTGTTCCAAAGCTTTTTGGATGAGAAGTGAAATATTTTCAAAAAAAAAAAAAAAAAAAAAAAACCTCCAAGAAAGTCCAGTTACATTTTGGAAAAAGCACTTTTGAGTGAAGTTCCTTATTTTACTGAGAGATTATGGTAAGAGTCTTTTCTTTTGTCCATGGATTAAAATTGTATTTTGAAAAGAAACAAAAAAGATTATTATGTAGAATTCCTCTGTTTCTCTGACTTCGTGATCAGAAAATGAATTGTGGCTAATGATATTTTTATTTTTAAAGGTAGGAGAATTTTTTTTCTTAGCGACAGGCATAAGTTGCTTGGAGTCCCTTTATAGATGGATGCTAAGTAAATGCTAAGTAAATAAATAAATCTTTGAACTGTAGACCCTATATCTGAAATATCTAGAGACTGAATTATGAATTTTCCTGCATCTTTCTTTTTCCTTGCCTTTTGTGGAGTACTGATTAACAGTTCAGGACAATTCAAAAGCTGGGTCATTCTTCTGTGCCATTAAAATAATAATAAAACTAAATTGTTTTAATAAAAAGTATGGATAATAACAGACTTATTTGTTAGGAACAATTGTTCTTGGAAGCAAACAATTAAAAATACATTTATTGTTGTTTATGCCTAATTCCTATGTGCAGTTCCTATAAATGTGGTTTGCTGTGGATTTGCACAAAGGCATCCCACAAGGCCATTCTATTAAATACTAAATTAACAAATTAAAACCTTAGAAAGAGGTGACATTCATATCATCAACATGTATGCATTCGGACACTTGAATCCCATAGAAATTAAACTTATAGATATAAAATATTTATCTGTAAGAATGCATAAGGTCAGTTAAATAATCACAAGATGAAAGTGATCCATTTTCTGCTGTCTTGAAAAAGAACTAAAAATAAAAAATCCACCCTGCACAAGAAAAATACCACATTCTTGATGTGAAGAATAGTCCCTTTATTTGATGATACAAGTTGCCTTAAAAGACTCATTCTTAAGTATAATTGATGGAACAATTCTAAACTGCAATTGCAGTATCCTGACAAGCCTGAACTTGCAAGGCAGCAATGAAGAAATAATCTTCACTGTACTTCCTGTTGGTTCCTTTTCCTTAGAATAATCTCGTCCACAATGGGAGAGAGCAGTCTTAAGCCAGGCCACACATACAGCATCGTTTTTTCCAGACTGTAGATATGGTAGAGAAACATCTCATCTTCCTTTTTGCCTATTATTCCAACCTTATTTGGACAAGGTCAACTTTAAAGCTGGGTAAAGAAGCAGAAGGGGAAATTTAGCACCTGACTACTATCAAAAATCTGGGTTTCAGTTTTGGTCTTGGAGGGTTAAATCTGTAATGGTATAGCTCTTAATACATTATCCTAGCAGCCACAGAATTGCATAGGATTGGCAGTGCAGAGTTTTGTCTTTAAATACATCTTTTACTGAGGTATTTAAATATTGAAAAGATGACAATTCTTTGTTCTACACCAAGACATGTACTCAGATACTTTTTGTGTACAAAGCTGCCTGCCTCTTCAGCTTTTGTTTTCTTGCTTCATTGTACTGGCAACAGTGATGCTAATTATCAAGTAAAACAATATAATTATACTGAAGATTTTTTTGGCTAATGTAAAGATTCTTTTTCCCCCCATACACCCCCACATACTGCAGAACTATTTCCTCTGACCCTGAAACACTGCTGAATCCGGAATGACCTCTGCACTCTATATTTCGTTCTGAATATAGAAAATCACATCCTTTCAAGTTAGTAAGCTATTTTAGCAGCTACCAAGCCATATGGTAAAGAACAATACAGCAAGCCTTTTGTATCTCTTTTGTGTGATTATTGTTTAACTGTTTAACTATTCTAAAATGATTGTCAATGTGTTCTTATAACTACTGCTTTTTTGGTTATAGAGAGTCCAAAACGTTTGCTGACATAAATTAATAAACAGCCACAGCTACAGATACACAGAATTTTGTATTATACATTTGTCACCAAGCACAGATGACATACATCTTTTCTCAGGAAGTACTTGTGTTTGTCCATGACCATTTACCAATATCTTTATTTCTCACATTTAACTATTTCTTTCTCTTAGAAATAAAAAAAAAATCCATCAGCTTCAAACAAAAACAAAATAGCACTGTACTATAAAGGACATAAGAGAAAAGTAGTTGGAGTTATCACCAAGGCTACATTATTCAATAATTGTGGGTGAACATCCTATGGCTGCAAATAGAGCCTGCCTACAAGATTAACATTCACACAGCCTGCTGCTAATGACAAGAGTCTGATGTTATGAGGAATCAAGAAGAGAAAATGAAAAATGAAAGAATCCCTGTATCAAAGATTTTGGGAATAGACAAGATTATTAGTATTCAAAGAAATCTAGAGACACTAATCTAGATCAAAGAGTGCAGAGATTTTTAGAACCAAAATTACATCTGATAATCTTAATTTTTTTTTTAAAAAAAATTGAAATTGTAGATGTTGGTTATTAAAATAAGGCATTTGCAGAAAGTATTCCATGAAATATCCTGTTACAATGAACATATTAATCATTTTGCAATTACCCTCCATGCATGGTGCATGTTTTGTTCCTGTACCTGCACTTCTATTTTGAAATCATTTAGTATAACTAACTTCAACATTTCTAATCAACTAAGTGTTTCACACAATAGTAACATTTCTTTCTATTGCCATAAACAACTCTTCTGAGAGAGATTGCTTCTACTAGTTATAAAATGGCAACAAGGGATGGAGGTGGCAAATTCCTGCAGTCAAATAATTCATAATAGAGAATGTCAAGCCACATGGGAATGCAAGTTGGGCAAGAAAAGGTTCCTGTTAGGTCAGAATGGTCTACCTCATCAAGAAAGATCATATTGTTTTATTAATATGCTATTATCAAGGAATTTTGAGAATAGAATCTTCTCTTATTGGTTGCTAGTCAAGAACTGAAGGAAAGAAAGAGTATTTTAATGGTCTGCTGTAAATGTTAAGAATAGCTCCTAAGAATCCACAGGAAGGCCTATAACAGTAATTTATTTACATTTTTTTCTTCCAGAAGTTGACTGAAAGTATAAATTTATCCAACTTTAGTAATCATCAATTTTTTAGCAGTTACTTTTATTGCTTAAAAACATTGTCTCTAAATTTAATAGAAGACTAGAATATCAGTTTGAATTTGCATTGGGATTTTTGGAAGTTTGGATGGACTTCACTTACTGCTTTTGCAGGATTATTTGTGCATTTTTTGTGTTTGCATTGAAATGCAGAATCAGAAATACAAGTAGCCACCAGACATGCACTTAAACTCTGGCTCCACTGAAATCAGCAGCAAATTCTTTTAAGATTGTTACAATAAAGTATGTATTTGTTTAAGAACCTTAAGGCTTCCTGAGATGGCTCAACTCTTATTTACTTCTTTGTTTAAGATAGTCATAAGATTCCAAAATAAATTGATGACAGCAAGCAAAAAATTAGAACACATTTGAAAATCAATGCTATTATTCTCTTCAGAACAACAAAATAATATACCGATCAATATATATTAAGGAACATGTATGAGGTAAATTTACCAAAAGCTTCCTTTGCTTGCACGGTTAGACTCATAAATTACATTTCACTTGCTAGAGCATTACAAAATATATTGGAGGGTATATCTTTAAATATGAATCCATGGTTTTAAAAATTTGTGAGATTGTATTTTATAAGATGAAAGCCAAATGAACTAACAAAAAGAATACACTAAAGTAGGAGAGTGTTTTATTATGAACTGAACTATCTCAGGTAATCATCACATAGAAAATGAAATCAGTTACAAACTAGTGTAGCACATTATAGGGAAAGAAACCCTCCTTATTCAGTATAATTCTTACCTCGACAATATCTGAATTCGTTCGACTCTCATGCGGTTCATTGTATTCTGTATACTTCAGCAACACCTTGTCCATATCAGTGCTGGCATACTGGAAAAGTTTATTGGTGCTGTTGAAGATTATGAGAGCAATTTCACAGTCGCATAGAACACTCAACTCATAAGCCTTCTTCATTAACCCAAATTTCCTCTTCGTAAAAGTCACCTAAAACAAACAATAAAGGTAGAAATCAGGTTTCTGATTTGGGTTCTTTCTAAATTGCTTTAAATCCTGGATTCTAACAAGTTCAGAAGTGGAGTGCATAATATCAGTGCAAGTGCAAATATATACAGAATAGAATTCATTATTGGCCAGTGTGGTTGGACACACAAAGAATTTGTCTATGGTGTATAAGCTCTCAGGGTACATACAAGTACAAGTAATAGTGATAATCATATATATATATTGAATGACATTCATTAATCTGGGCGTCATCTTTACAGATTTAAACCTGAACATTCTATATAATAATGCAATTCAAAATACGTAATACATAATGTCACCTTTAATGTTGTCCTTACATCAGCTATTTCATATATTGTTAATTTTCTATATTTTTTATTTTCATTTACTATAATCTAGTTTCTTGCTTGTAAACCTACCAATATTTAAATTTGTAATTCATTGTTCTCTATAGAGAACTTCATATATACGTTCTTCCTTGTGTCAAATAACAGACTGTTTAAAAAGGACTGCTTTCTGAATAGAAAATATTAATGTTTTCTTCATCAGGCACTGATTATAATATACAAATCTAACAGGTTTCTGATGTAATCAAATCAAACCTATAATGTTATGGTTAAGGAACAAGTTACATGCTTTGAGGCTATTTAATTAGTTCTAGTTTCTATAAGTTCTTTAATGCTATCAGTAAGAATATCTGCATGTGTTTCTATAAAGCATAAAACACTCCAATATGCATTATTCATAAAGGTGTGTTTTAATCTTCTTATAGGCCTAATGCATGCTAATGCAACTGCAACCTGCCATAAAATATCATTTAACCATACTATGGAAAACATAACATGAAATCCATTTCATGTCACCAGCCAGCCCATCTCAGAAATGTATCTAGTTCCCTGTTCTTTGCAAATTGATACTTTACAATATAAACAAACTACATTTGCATCTGATACATTATTTCTATTGATTTTTTACTAAACAGATGCAGAAGTCTAAAATAATTTTCAAATCAATTCATACATTTCTACATTGTATTCAGATGAATACACACAAGTTTATCTACTATTTATTAAACCAGAACAGTAGTATTTAACATAATTTGCAATCATATTCACATTAACTATCAAATTTGCTGAAGTGCATCACATTAGTATTGATCTACAAGCCAACAGATATATAATGATCTGAGTACATATCTGAGTAATGCTAGTGGAGTAAATCAACATAACTCTGTGGAATTCAAACTATTTCAATAGGATTCATTGAAAAGAGTGTAGGTTCTAAAAATAATGCAATACTTAATTAGTTCAGTGCAGAGCTCATGAAACCAAATTGCACTTTGTCAAAGAAATTGATAAAATATAGCCATGTAGTACCAGTATGCATGTTTATAGTCATTTTGAAACTAATGTTATTTCAAGCTGGACTTTTCTTTGTTAAAACATGAACATATTTTTTCCAAGGTTATGAGTTTGTGTATGATTTGCTCTTTTTTTTTTAAAGGGAAATAGTCTAGACCCTAAAGTATGGATTGGGCTGGATATATAAGTCTCATACACTGTTACTGCATTTGAAACTATTTTCAATGAAACTTGCAGACCACAGTACTGGAAGAAGACTGTCTGTATATAGAATAATTTTTGTTGAAGAAAACCTCAGAATTTAGCATATTAAACATTCTCACCATCAAAAGTACATTTTGGAACAGAAATATCTTTAAGACCACTGTGTTTACAGTTAGGTGTTTCTGAATATTGAAGCTGACCACATGAATGTGCTACACAGCACATACTAATCTTCATGAGATTTGTTGTAGACTTTTGCAAATGATTTCTTTTCATTAGGCTATAATTTAAAACAATGACAGAATTACTAAAGCATTTATTTCTTTTCTTTTTTAAAAAAAAATATTAAAATGTAATCCTAATTGCTCGGAATATGATTCATTAGCATTTTTCCCAGGTGCATTATATGACAATATTACCATTGTTCACCAAGATATAAAACTGGTTTTATGCATCACTGTTTCTAAAGTGAAATAATTTTTACTATTCATTTAAAATATGCCCCTCACAGTTAAAAATTTCAGACTTCTTTGCACTTAGCATAGTATCATCATAAATCATTAATCTCTTATACTTTTACAATAAGCTGTCACAGGAATGAATCTATTCTTTTCGTGTTAGTGAAAGTTCAAGACTTAAGAAATTATTAAGAGCATCATGAAAGGTATTTAATTTTTTCTTTTTCATTATTCATGTGCTAAAACAAAGTATATTAGGTTTTTAATGTATGTGATTTATAAAAACAAAAAACAATATTATGTACTTTTAAATAATACATTGATCTATCTACTCTGCTAAATTAATCATTCAACTAATTAATTAAAATCAGTCTCTTCTCGGTTCAAGACACCTTGAATGTGAAGATATGTGATTTTGTCCTCATTAATAAAGTTTTAAATAATTGAAATTATCTGCAGGCATGAAAACCCTGAAATATCTTTCTAGCTCTAGCAATACCTCTTTCTACCATATTTGTCTATAATATTTAGTTTTGCAAATAAGTCTTAACAATAAAGATGATTATCTAATTCCACATAGGAATATTGGTGCTTAGAGGAAATGCTGAAATGATAACCTTTCTCATTGCCCTTGATATCAGATATCCTGGGACTGAATCCTTGGTATCAGAATTTGTTCCATGAATAGTAAACAACAACTGCTATGGTCTTTTGGCATTAGTTGTGCTAAACTAGAATGGATAAGAGTTGCAGTCAAAAGACTTCAACGGCACTAAATTGCTTAACCCTATTACAGAATAATGTTTCTGTGTCCTTCGAATGAAAGTGAGTTTTTATACATTTGTTTCTGCAATGAACTTTTTTTCCCTTTGTGGTGAACAGACTATAAATCAGATTATCCAAAACATACATAGTCAAAAAGCAAATAGTTCATAGTCCGTTATTTTCAGTGATTCCAAAATTTGGAACTGTGTTACTTATGTACAACCATCTTGATCCATTATGACTATTGCTGAACATATTTACACATATTTATACAGTTATCATAGTTATCAGAATGGATGTGTTTGTGCACGCATGCGCGCGCGCGCGCACACACACACACACACACACGTATATATGTATCTGAATATTGCATGCAAAATTTCCAGTGCATTAGAAGGCTGCAGTGTTATTTCCAGAGTCTTTTCATGCCTTCTAAAAATATCTTTCAAATCATTTTTGGCAATTAGCCTTTTCAAGTATTATTAATAATAATTTCAGATAATCTCAATCCAGCCATGAAAATCTTACTATCAACCTGTGCCCTGAAAATTGGTAAACCAGATATCTAATTGAATTTTAAGTTACTATGGTGGGTGATTGTTTTATATCCTAGTTCAGTGGTTCTCAACCTGTGGGTCGGGACCCCATTTGGGGTCGATCGACCATTTCATGGGGGTCGCCAAGCAAGGCTGTCCACCATTTTTTTGTCCGCCATTTTTTTCCCCCTTTTCCAGCGGGTGCCTTACCTCCCTTGGGCTGGGCCAGCTGGTGGTCGGCCTGCTCCGTCTCTGCCGCTTACCAGCTATGCCTCGGCCGGCGCAGGGGGCAGAACCACGCATGCGTGGCGCTCCTGGGCAGGGAAAGTCCTCGACTTACGACCGGTTGGGTAGTCCTCGACTTACAACCGGTTTAGTCCTCGACTTACGACCGGTTTAGTCCTCGACTTATGACCGGTTGGGGTCGTGGCATTAAAAAGGTTGAGAACCACTGTCCTAGTTGCTACCAACTAGTGGAAACAAGTCACAAAATACTATTGTTCTTTTACTTATTATATCCTATTTCAAGGGTTATAGGTGAAGCTATTAAATTATGACATAATACAATCAACACATTGTTTTATATTTTTATCCGTGTAAATTAACTTGTTTTAACTCATGGATTCAGGTAATTTTCTGAAGACTTTCCATCAAACATCTGGCATTAAACGCAAAACTCTCCATTAGGTTGGGGTGTTCTATGGTAGCAATGACATGTCACTGCAATAGGAATAGGGCAAAGAGTAAACTAGCCTATACTTCAAGAGCGACAAGAGTGCTAGGCAATCACCAACTGAATAGTTGCACTGAGAGGGCTCTCAACAGAAGGGGAGGGATACGACATCTTCTATCTCCAGTCTACAACACAGTCCTTTCAACAGTTCCAAACCATTTGCACTACTCAGGTGACCTTGACGACACAGATAAATCACCAGGTAGCCTCAATGACTCTAAAAGAATGCAAATGACCAGCTGTTTGAAAGGAGTGTAAATCCTTCCATTCCTACCATCCAGTCAGAGCTGAAGAAGCTTCTTGGATGAGAAGTGAAATGTCTTCAAAGAAAAACATGAAAATCCAGTTGCCTTGTGAAAAAGCATCTTTGAGACAACTATGACCTGGATGACTGAGAATCTCCAAAGACATTCTTGTACTAGTTGCTTTACATTTTTATTCCTTCACATGTGTATCTTTGGTTTTTCTCCAGAATTCTTTTTAAATTCAAATAATCTGTACAATAGTCTGTTATTCAAAAACAGGGTACTGAAATTCTTAAATTTAAATTTTCAATTATCACAAAATAAAATTATCCCTTGGAATACACTAAAAGCAAATGTGAATGTTATCTGAGGTGTGTTGCAATGCCATCCCTTTGAGAGGCATTTCAGATTCCAGCAAATGCCTTCAATAACTAGAGAGAGTTTATTTCTCAATATTCTATATAATATGTGCTTCTGCCCTTGCTATAAGGAAATTATAGAAGATTTTATCATTATTTATTATACGGATCTACTTCCACTTCAACATTTGGAATAACCAGGAGCTCCTCTTGGTAAGAAAATCATTTTCATCTGATTCATGAAAAATTGAATATTTAATGAATTTAGACAAGGAGACATTATTATGGAAATTAGCAAGAATTTCACCGGCTGCTGTAAAC